TTAACAGGTCAAATTGGACAGGAACAACACAGAGCAAAATATGACAGAAGTGCAAAGGAACACAACTACACCTGAACATCTGCAACAGGATCCACAAGACAGAAAAACAAAGCAGAAAACAGAATAAAGTAGTAAATCAATGAAATAAAAATGTCATGACTGAATTAACATAAATAAACTCAGACAGAGACAACAGACACATCAGGACTGGATCTCACAAAGAAACCTTAAAAGTGAAGAGAGTCTTTTTACAGTAAAAGCATGTTGTCTGTTTCTTGTCTGTTCAACACCAAGAACCATGAAAGAAAAACATGGATTATGATCCGTGTCCTTTTTTTTTTAACTTAATTAATGAATAGTTCAATTTTAATGTTTTCCGGCCTTTGCTGTCTTCCTGTCGTCTTGACGTTCACAGGACCAGCTGATCTTCCTGTTGATTGCATCACATGTTCTCACTGTAGCAGGAGCCAGAGCTCATGAAGAACAGGAGGACTTACCTGGTTCCAGGGCAGGTTGATGTTTCTTTCCTTCGCCTCGTCCTACCGACAAATTGACTGTCAGACTCTGGGAGGTGGGGCCAGAAAGAAGCCCGCTCATACCTTATGGACACTAAAGTACAGGACGCTGGGAGGGAGGGGGAGGGAGGGGGGAGGTGTTGGGGTGTGTTATAACAACAGAAACGTCTGTAAAGTTGTGACAGACAGAAGATGGAGAGGAGCTGTTTACCTAGGGTCCTCCTGGGAACTGGTACTGGATCCCCTGACCATGATGAACATCCCAGTCCACTATCAACACCCTGACACACACACACACACACCACACACACACCACCGTACATCATTAAAGGTCATGTGACAACACAAGACCTCTGAAAGAAGCGGCTCGGTGCGGTGAAATCAACATTTTATAATATGTACATCATTTATTCATGTGATGTTTAACAAATAGAGTCAGGAGAAAGACAGGTAATGTATGTTGGTTAGAAAACTGATAATATATAAGAACAATAAAGATTCTTTAAAAGCATCTCATTTTATTTACACCTCCTGAATGAAAACATGGATTAATATTCAGTATTATCAGTATATATCAGTGTCAGAAAAAACAGAACTATAACACCTGTATCTGCATAAACCAATCAATAAATCAGACACTAATTAATCATTAAGCATAATTTACAGGTGATAAAGAGCTTGTTTTAGCTCAACCTGAGACAGTAAGGTGTTTCTGTCCTGACAGTTCATCAGTCTGTGCTTTTATTCAGTTAAACCCCTGACACTACATGACTGTCCTCCAACCTTCTATCACACACACACAGCACAACACACACCACACACACACACACACACACACACACACCACACACACAACACACACACACACACACACGACACACACACACACACACACACACACACCTACCTCTGCTGACTGAGTGTGTGGTGCTGAGCGTATCGAGCTGCAATTGCCACGTTGTTGAAAACACAGAAACCGTTGGCCTGGTTGGCCTGAGCATGATGACCTGGAGGTCTGAGGGAAACAGGTGTGTTACTGTGATGTCTGGATCTGATCTTGTGTTCATGTGATTAAAGTGAGCAGCAACCTGAACTGCAAGCACAAAGGAGCTGCTGGTGTTACCTGACTATGACAGCGAAATCCAATTTCTGAGTTCAGAGGTCATTCACCTGATCAACCAGCTGAGGACTTGAGCCCACCGCCAACACACACACCTGGAAGGACTCCTACACAGCACACACACACACACACACACACACACACACACACACACACACACACACACACACACACACACACACACACACACACACACACACACCAGTTAAATCAGTGTGATCTCTGTAAAATTGTAAAAAAAAAATTCTTCCTCTGTGTGTGTGTGTGTGTTGTGTGTGTGTGTGTGTGTGTGTGTGTGTTCTTACAGGATGAAGGTAAACACTGTCGTATTTCTCAGAAAGAGTGTGTAGTTCACTCTCTGACATCGTTTGAGTCGACCTCATCACATCCACATAATGTTTCCTACAAACACATCACAGGACAGTAGAGTCAGTCACAGGACAGTAGAGCCAGTCAGAGGACAGTAGAGGACAGTAGAGTCAGTCAGAGGACAGTAGAGGACAGTAGAGTCAGTCAGAGGGCAGTAGAGGACAGTAGAGTCAGTCAGAGGACAGTAGAGACATTGAGATGTCGTCAGAGGACAGTAGAGTCAGTCAGAGGACAGTAGAGGACAGTAGAGTCAGTCAGAGGACAGTAGAGTCAGTCAGAGGACAGTAGAGGACAGTAGAGTCAGTCAGAGGGCAGTAGATGACAGTAGAGTCAGTCAGAGCACAGTAGAGGACAGTAGAATAAATAGAAGTGTTTCCTCTGTTCTCCTCTCAGCTCTAAAACTAATGATATGAAAAGTTCAGACTCACATGTGAACAAGCAGCAGTTCTTCTTCTGTAGCTTCTCTGGGCTGAGACACAGAGACATGATGTTAGACAGGCAGAGAGACAAACAGACAGAGAGAAAGACAGGCACACAGACAGACAGTCTTACCTCCACTCTGATGCAGTGAGACAGCAGGTCTCGTCTCTCCAGCTCCTCCATGATGGACGTCACTCTGTCTGGACTCTCTACATGACTGACAACAACAACAACAACACTCTGTCATGAAACTGTTACAACGTCACACATTTAAATCAATGAGTCATTGCTCACTGACAGAGGAACACCTGAGGTTACCTGAGCTCCCACAGGTTCTTATGATGAGTGAAGGTCTCTGAGTAAACCAAACCTGTCCCACTGGCTGCTGACCTGCTGGATAGGTCCTACACACACACACACACACACACACACACACACACACACACACACACACACACACACACACACACACACACACCATTAATCTAACAGCTCTGTCACAAGTCGCATAAATATGGACAACAAAGAGACAAAACCAACACAAACAACAGAGTTCAGGGGTCCTATGTAGGAGGGGTGGTGGCCTTTCCTTTAAGACATTTTAATGAGGAAAAGTTACAGATTATTACTTTAAATTACAGACAGAGAGAGAGAGACAGAGAGAGAGAGAGAGAGAGAGAGAGAGAGAGAGAGAGAGATAGTCTGACAGACAGGATGTTTACCAGCATCTGCAGTCTGCTGTTCAGATCCTCCTCTGTATCCTCTCTGCTCCTCTCCATCCTCCCTTTTCTCTTCACCTCCTGCAGACTGTTTCCTCGTTTCTTCTCCTCCTTTCCTTTACTGCTGCTGCCCTGAAACCACACATTACATTTCATTTAAACACAGATGAAGAGTTTTCACAGCGATCCGAGAGTTGCAGAGTAAAAGAACAAAAACACAAACCTAAATAAAGACACAGAAGAAGAAATGCTGGATAATCTCAAATAGAAGAAGTCTGGCTTCACTCGCTCCAAACAACAAACTGACAAAGGCACAAAGCATTCCTCTGTTAACATGAGACCATGAAGAGAGACCAGTGTACCTGAGGTCAGACTCCAGCTAAGATAGATGATTGACAGCTGCAGGAATAATCATTATCACAATGTTCACTGTTTTCTCTTCATTGACAATTTCATGTCAGCAAATCACACACAACCTCAGTCTGTCGTAAACACACACACTCCTTTCTACACAATAGATGAGTCAATCTCCAGGATTTTTCCAGGTCTACAGACACGTTTTCTTTTTGTGGTTCATGAGGCATTCGAGAGCTGTCAGCATTACAACATAAATGTGTATTTTTTCTGTTAAAAACATCAGCCTGACGCTATTTCAGCTGCTTCTCCTTGACTCAGGAGGCAGAGCAGGTTGAGACTCTCAGAGTCCACCTGAGCGTCGAGACAGAAATGTTATGTGGGTGTGAACAAGTGAATGAGAGAAACAGTAAAGCAGTTTGGTTGGAAGCAGCCATAGAACTGCTGTCCCTTTAGTACTGCATGGTCTTCTGAAAAAAAAGAGATGTAGCTGAAAGCTCTGGAAATGGACAGGAAGTTATTCTGTAACTACTGTGGAAAAAACACAGATTGAGATGAATTTAACACTCAGAAAATGTGTTCTATTAAATTCCATGTGGAGTGACAGAGGATTTTATCACATGCTCATAAATAAAGAGTTCACATGTTAAAACCATTTAGTGTTTTCTGATGAGTGGATGACAGCAGTGAACCGGTTTCTTCCTGACTGGTTAACAGTTAAACAGGTAAAAAACACCTGATCCAGCTCCTTTCAATGTTTCACTCGACCTTGTTTCCTAAAAGCATCTTAAAATCCACCTTCTGAGCCCTGTCAGGTCTTGATGAAGAGCTCTGGACAGAATTACGTCAAGACAGTATGTCAGCTTCTATTAATGCCAGGTACAGATTAACTCTTTATAATTTTCTTCATCAGCTTTACCTCACCACAATTTCACCAATCTAAACCTGAATTGTCAGAAATGTGCTTCAGATGTGGTGTAGAGGTTGGCTGTTTCCTTAACTGTACCTGGCTTTGTACTGAAGTGAGGCCCTTTTGGCACGACCTCTGAGACACCTTGACCAAGATCACTGGAGCTACCTTCTCATTAGATCCTGAATTTTGCTTACTGGGGAATTTTAAAAACATCAACAGATCCTAAATTTATGAAGATTACTCTGTGTGTGGCCAGAAAATGCAGAGCAGTGACATGGAAATCTGATTACCCTCTCCTCATTGAAAGATGGTTGTCAGAAATGGATAGATGTATTCGTCTTGAAAAGATCACATATAGCTTAAGAAAAGGATACAACTACTTCCTGAAAATCTGGTGGCCTTATCTAGAGTCTATAGGAACATCACTGACACCACCATAACAAGCCATCTGTGGTTAACCAAAGACCTCTTTTAAGGAGATACCATTGTTAGCCTCTTATGTTTCACTCTATGCAGTGATCTTTTTTCCTGGGTGGGGGGTGGGAAAGGAAACGTTTTTTGTGTTTTGTTCTGTAAAATTGTTGAAATAAATGTGAAAAATAAAATATTACAGAAAAACAACAAAAAAGATGGTCTCAGATTACAGAGTGACTCCTTCACACCACAGGATGAACCAGCAACTACATTAACTCTGAACTTCATGAAGTACATACATAAAGACTGGGATGTAATAATGTTGTGATACATTTTGTGTAACAGTTTTTCTCCATTCAGAGCCATGTGGAGTTGAACTGTGGTCAAAATAAATATGATGTAATCATGATCACCACGTCATGATTTATTTTTTGAGCTTAGTGATCATATAGAAATCCATCTCTGAAGTGGCCCCGGATCTGAACCAGGATATGTGAAGGACCTGACTGAGGGATGAGCTGCTGCCTTAGTAAATCTGAATACACATGAATACATAAATGGACACAGATTGCGGTGTGTGTGTGTGTGTGTGTGTGTCTGTGTGTGTCTGTGTGTGTGTGTGTGTGTGTGTCTGTGTGTGTCTGTGTGTGTGTGTGTGTGTGTGTCTGTGTGTGTCTGTGTGTGTGTGTGTGTGTGTGTTCTCTGACCGACCTGAGGAGACAGACGAGGAGATCTTCTGACTGACTTCAGTCCAGATCCTGGAGGATCTGGTCCAGACTGCATCTCTGATCCACCTGAAAAAAACACACAACACACAGATTGATGGAAACGAACACTCAGGCCGTCAGTCACCATTATGTCATTATTAATCAGCCTATTGACCATTAATGACACATTCAGATAGTTATTGTTCTCCACAGCTGACAGTGAATCTGAGTCTGACTTCTCTCATTATTAAATTCACTGTCGTGTCGTTATTATACAGGACATGTTTTATTATTGAAATATATTAAAATATGGAAAATGTATAACAAAAAACCCCACAAAATATCCAGCCGTGTTCACAGCAACAGCCTGTGTCAGACGGCTTTAGCTGTTAGCCCCTTTGCTAACCGGCTGTGGTCTGTAGTCTTTTTCTCTGAGCTGAGGCATGTAACCGGATGAAGTGAGACTCAGACCCGATATAGGTCTCCGCACTGGACCTGAACTGGACTCTAATAAACCACAGAAACTCACCGCTCTGCATCTGTTGTTTCTGCCGCTGAGCGCCAACTGAACACAACTGTCGCACACACACGACGTCACCGAGAAGGGCGTCGGCGCGACCTGCTGACGGTACCGTGAACTTCCGTGAAAATATAACATACCATAGACATATTCACACATTAAAAAATATGTACCATGCCAATGTTTAGTATCTTTTTCAGCACAAAATCACCTATATGACCGTACTTTTTTTTGAAATGCTGTATCAACATATTTGACATAAAAACACACATAAAGTTGTTTTTGTAAAATTATGCTTTTTTAAACATGTTACCATTTGATGTTTTGTACAATATATATATTGTTAAATATTATAATATATAAATAACTGTGCAGTGAGTGTTTTCTTGTTCTGCATGTGATATTCTTCAACTAAAAATGCACAATGAGAAATATTGTGTTTTGAGTTGGGTTCACTTTTTTAAGGATTATCAAAATGTCATTTACACACAATGAGTGTGTAAATGAAATTTTGATAATATTTACAAAATATATTTTAATAACAATTTTCAGAAATGAAATGAAAATCCACAGAAATCATAAAACATCCTCAGTTTTTAATGTAACATCAGTTTGAACACAACAACATGAACAAACAGTAGAAAACAACAACATGATCAAATAATACAAAGTATAAAAACACTGATATAAAATGATGCAGAGAGAAAAGAACATCAGGTTAAAAACTAAGTGCAATAAAAACAGAACATGTTAAAGTTGTAGCTGCATGTTGCCATGTAGTGTTTACTCCGTCTGTAGACAGCAAATCACAATCCTTCACCTCCATCTAATCAAACTGTTGTAGTGTTTTATCACTGCCAGTCTGCTCTGGCTGTTTTGCAGTGAATTGTGGGTAGTGTAGTGCTTATTAGACATCACTTGTCTGAGATTTTAACTCACTGCTGAGTGTTAATACTGTTTGTTATTTAAGAATCCTTGTGTTGATTATAAATTATGTGTTTACTTCAGGTTTCAGACCCTGACAGACACTGAACTGCTGTCAGAATAGGACCTGTCAGACCAGGTCCAGAGGATGAATGAGTGTTGAAACACTGTGCAGAGGAAGGTCATCACATTTACCACCAATCATGACTTCTGTATCTCACAATCACTATAACTATGTCATGACTGTGAGATCCTTTATCAGAGTTATAGATCTTTATCTCATAATTACAACAAAATAATATAATAATGATGAAACCTTCATCTTGTAATTATAAGAAAAATATCTCATATTTAGGATGAAATTGTATCATAATTACTAGATCCCTACTTCACAGTTACAGTGTCATTCTCTCATAGATACAATTATTTCATAATTATATCTGTATCTCATATTTAGAAAAATAACATAAGACATAAGATCCCTGTGTCATAATTAAAAGATTCATATCCTATAAACGATGAAAGGGTCTCACATTCATGGTTTTATGATCTGATGATTATAAAATCTATCCCGTTAATATTTATCATTATCTTGTGCCTATGAGATCTAATGACAGTAATAATCTCATTAACTGAAGGTTACAGAGACAACAGTCTCCAAAGTCATAATTATGAGATATGGTGAATGTAATGTGCTTCTGAATTCTGCTTCCCATGATGCATTTTGTTGGTTTGAGGCTGAATTATTAACACACACATTTAAAAACAGATAATACTTAAAAAATCCATCCAGGGAGGTGTGGATACCTGTCTGTCTCCACCGGTCTGTCTGCACCTGTCTACCTGTCTGTCTGCACCTGTCTGTCTCCACCTATCTACCTGTCTTTGGCGGAGCGCAGGTCGGTGGTGATGGGGTCATGTTGGATGGTTTGGTGCAACATCAGAGCCAATAATCCGGCCCGATTGGTCATGGCAGTCCTCAGGTTCCTCTCCTGCTCGAACAACTCGTCCAGTTTATACCACTAACAGAAAGAGAGGGTCACATGATGGACATCAGTCACTGCTGTGACGTTCAGGTTAATGATATTAATAAAGTTTAGTTTTGGAGGTTACCACTCGGACTCTCTCCAGGTCGACCTCTGCTCGGCGGAGTTTCTCCCAGCAGTAATGTTTGTTACACTTCCTCTTGGAGACGCGGCAGAACTCTCCAGTCGGCTCAAAGACGTCTTTGACCAGAGGACAACCACAGACCTCGTCTGCTGGGATCTGATGGACCGAGAGGAGATTCGGTCTTTATTTATTGTTCTAAACCTCTGGTTTTCATTTTTTCTTTAGCAGTGCTCTGTTCTGTGAGCAACTGTCAGTGTTCATACAGTGCTGTATCAGATGATAGTCATGTCAATAAAGCTATTTGGAATTGAATCAAACAGAAAATTAGAAATTAGATGGAATAATAATAAAATAGTAACATAGAAATAATAAATGAAATAAATAATCAAAATATGAAAATGAATGAACTTCAGCTGGTAGTTTATTGGTCAATGTGTCAATACAAATACGAAGCTCAGGCTCACACACCAATTTATGTTTATTTTCATTCCAAAACAAAAGTGGATATCTTGACAAGGTGTTTCACAAGGATCAACACCAGGCCCCATTCTGTTCACTTCAATCTATACATAAACATGCTGCCATTAAACCAACCACATGAATGACCTGTACGTCTGTCACCAGATGACACACTGTGTGAGTGTATTGTGTGTGAATGGGACAGAACTGAGGTTGTCTTTGTGGCTCAGAATGAAAGACAGAAAATCACTGCCCACCTTAACCCCTTACCTGAACTCACCTAGCACTCACTTCACAACTCAAGTTAAACTCCACCTGCTTAAGAAGATCGTGTGTGCAGTATCAGACACATGACAGGGGGGTAAACATGTTAGCTGGTTTGCTGGTAAACTCCATTAGCCCACAGATGCAACCCTGAATGTCTCTGGGTTTCCTTATCTTCTCTACAAATCTCTATTTCACTGGACCTCATGAGAAACTAGTAAGTTAGCAACCTTAACTAGCTACCCTGACATTCAGACTGAAGTCCATCTTGTTTCACTTCATTTTAACAGTTTCCGATCATGAAGGTCTGAAAATAGTTAATAATTAAGCTAACATTTAAATTTGTTATCGGTAGTTGCTGAAAACATATGAGATGTGGGCAGTGATTAGAGGTGTGGAAGGTGATGCTAGCTGGCTAACATTTGCTTGTTAGCTATCTTGGCCATCATGTTTGCTATGTTTCCCATCACACAGTCATTGTTGTAGTTTAAAAAAAATGACTCTTTTGTTAAATTGCTGTTTGTTGTGAGAAAACATAAAGAAAGACGATTGAAGATGAGTGGGAGCTATTCGGGTAGCTAACTGGATAATTAGCAGACATTCAGTCTGCTCTGTGTTCTGAACAGAAAAAGCAGTTTACAGTGAATCTTTCTGTCTGCTTCACTTATTTGTCTTGACTTCACGAAACAGAGCATTCACTTTATTTCATTGGTAAATGTCAGCGCTAATGTTAGCGGGATCCTGACTCAGTGGAGGGAATACATGAGAAATAAAATATTTATATTTTAATTTAAAATAATATATATTAAATATATGAATATTTTATAATATTATGTATTATTAGTGCAGAGACGTGTTTGTGTGGATGAGACGTACCTTTGGATCTCTGGAGTGTTCAGGACATAAAACCTGCAGCCGCTTACAGTACGTCTTACTCTGAGGGTTATACACATCACAGAACAACCTGGTGGCTCTGAGAGACAGAGACATGAGAAACATGAGATACAGGCAGAGACATGAGAGACCAAGAGAGACATGAGAGACAGAGATACAAGAGACATGAGAGACACACAGAGACAGAGACACAAGAGACATGAGAGACAGACAGAGACATGAGAGACAGAGATACAAGAGAAATGGGAGACACACAGAGACAGAGACACAAGAGACATGAGAGACAGACAGAGACATGAGAGACCAAGAGAGACATGAGAGACAGAGATACAAGAGACATGAGAGACACACAGAGACAGAGACACAAGAGACATGAGAGACAGACAGAGACAGAGACACAAGAGACATGAGAGACAGGCAGAGACATGAGAGAAAGGGACATCATAAACTTCTTCAAATGAGACAGACAGACAGGTGGTCTTACCCCTCTATACGTGTTGGGTACATGGAACCAAAGGATGTCTGACTCTCGTACTGTTGGACAGACAGACAGGAGACATGCAGACAGACAGACAGACAGACAGGCAGAAAGAGGGAGACAGACAGGCAGACAGACAGAAAGACAGACAAACAGCCTGACAGTCAGTCAGACAGTTCAAACAGACAGACAGAGAGAGAGACACACAGAGAGACAGACAGAGAGAGAGACAGACAGAGAGACAGGTCTGATTAGTGTTCAGTCAGTTAAATCCCTGCAGGTGTAACAGCAGCTGCTTTCTGCTTAGTTCAAACACAAAGAAAGACCTCAAACATAAAGAAGTTACAAATATTGTGACACAAGTTTATGACAGATCATGATTTTTAAATAAAGTTAAACACCATGAAAAGACCAGATGTTGATGTCACCCAGATGTGAGAAGAGCCAAGGGGAGAGAAAGCTGTGCTCTCCAGGTCTGCTCAGACTCCCTCTAGTCTACAGAGACAAAGTCTGATCCAGTTTTTCACGTCGTAGTTAAACTGTCTCCTGTGTCAGGCTGTAGGCAGCGTGCTCACCTGTACAACACCTGTGCACCTGTGAACTGTAACATCTGTTCATAAGAACATGTCTTCACATTCAACTGCTGTCTCTGAAGTTTGATGTGGTTTCATGGACTTTATCAAGGTATCAGCTGCTGTGACGCGCACACAGTGAGGTGATGTCATCATGTGGCTGTTGTCATGTCTGACATCACTTATTGTTATTGATGCACTGATATTTGATTGGCATGAAAAGATTGAACTCAGAATATGTTTTTAAACCCGGGACTGGGCTTTTCAGGTGCACCTGCAGTCAGGGCTGCTCTGCTGTTAAAAGATACCTGTGGACACCTGTGGACACACCTCACCTGTCCTGTCTCCTGTCTCTGACACTGACCTTAGCATAGCATCTCTCCATGTGTCTCAATGCCACCTTCGGGTTGACGGGGTGACTGCAGGAAACACAGAAGATCTGAAGGTCAGTGTCATCACCATCACCTTCAGTCACCTGCAGATGGACAGGTCAGAGAGAGAGAGACAGGTTATAGACAGGGCAGAGAGAGAAAGACAGGTTATAGACAGGGCAGAGAGAGAGAGACAGCTCAGAGAGAGAGAGAAATGGGAAAGAGAGAGAGAGACAGGTCAGAGAGAGAGAGACAGGTTATAGACAGGGCAGAGAGAGAGAGACCGGTCAGAGAGACAGACAGGTTAGAGTGTGTCTCTGTGTGTCTCTCAGTGTCTTGTACCTCCTCGTGGTGTTGGACCTGCTGCAGTTTGGCATTGGCGATAATGCCTTCAAGCTCATGAAAACGTTTCTCCATCAGCGTGAGGCGGAGCCTTGCTGCCTGCTGCTCCCTCCTGATTCGCTCCAGCTGTCTCCGCCCCATCTCCTCGGCAACACACGGACTCTGCTGCCATTGCTGGATCCTCTGAGGCAGGATCTCATAGATACGACTGAGACAGAGACACAGAGACAAAGAGACATAAAGACACAGAGACCAGTCCAGGAGACACTGTCTTCCAGACCCTCAGTTTCTCTGCAGTATCTGACTGAGTGTTTATGATTTTGTGTTGACGTGTTGACATTGTGTTGTTGTGTTGTATTGATGTTGTGTTGTTGTTGTGTTGACGTGTTGTTGTGTTGACGTGTTGACATTGTGTTGACGTTGTGTTGTTGTGTTGATGTTGTGTTGTTGTGATGTTGATGTGTTGACGTTGGGCTGCTGTTGTTAAGGTGCGTCTTCACTTTCACACAATGAGAACTGAGACTCACTTGGCGGCAAGCTTCATGCCGCAGTCCTCAGAGCAGTACTTCGAGTTGGTCCTCGCCGGTTCGACACATCCAGGACCCAGACATTGCCGCAGAGCCCCACCCACCTCTTTGACCCCACCCTCCCCCGCTCGCTCACTGTGCCGCACACGCTCCCTGTGACGCTGCTTCGCTTTGTGACGCCGAGGCTTCACCTCCTCTTTGGGAGTGGACACAGACTTCTACAGGACAGGACAGGTGTGTTAGTGACATCATAAGTGACATCATCAGTCCTCTAATCGACACCGTCCTCACCTTCTTCTCCGTCTTCTTCTCTCGTCTCTTCACATGTTTCACCTTCACTGCTTTCTTCCTCAGAGAGTCCGACTGAGCATCCTCGTCCTCGCTGTGCCACAACTGTAACAGGATGACACGTCACACACCAGGAAGTACCTGTTCTGACAGATGATTGGTCAGAAAAAGCTTACTCACACCGACCAGGTCTCTGTATCCGGCAGCTTTGTACTGCTCATACAGCTCCAGCTCGCTCTCACTGAACCCCTCTTCCTCCTCCTCATCCTCCTCCTCCTCCTCTGTCTGGTGCCCTGCCCCTTTCCTTGGCAGGCCCCGCCCCCTGCCGCCACTCCGACTCATCTCCTCGTCTCTGACCCGAAGCATCTTCTGCTCAAAGACGAGAAAATCACCAACATCTATGTCATGATAAGTTCATCAGCTCTGAACAATAAATCTGATTATTATAACTGTAACACCGGAGCTTTATCAGGTACACCTGTACAACACCTGTACAGTCTATTGTAGTCCAATATAACACCTGTGCTTATGAAGCTAGTTTTCTGTTTATCTCTGAATTCAGATCTAACAGAGCAGTTTCTGGTTTTTGTCCACCCTGTTTACTTATATGAGGGTGTCAGAATATTAGGAACACCTCTGAATGTAAAGAGTCCTTGACTTGACTTGACTGAGAACAGGTGACCAAAACTGTGTCACCTGTTCCTAAACAGCAAAGGTTCTCTGAACTCTTCATACAATCATTAACACCACAGGTGGGTCCAACAGAAACTCAGATTAGCAAAACACAAAGCCACAAATCATCAGTTCCTTTTGGGGAGTCCCATCACCCCTCTGGTCACTCACCCGGGCTCGGACCTCACACTGCCTGAGTCGACACTTCTGCCTGATTTTGTTTGGACCTCCAAACTTCTTCATGTCTTTGCAGAAGTCGCACTGAGCGCAGTCCTCAGTCCTCAGACAGGCGTCACACTCTCCACACATCCTGGCTGAGCGCTTGATCTGAAACATCACAAAACACTGATCAGAACCAGACATCAGAACCAGAACCAGAGGCTGAACTGTCTGAGTTTTCTTCACTGTTAACAGATTACATGTAGAAGCACCTGAAAAGAGCTGAACCAAGTGAGAATCTATCTGTCCAGGACCCAGTCTGTTCACCTGTGACCGATGACAGCGAGAACCGACAGTAGCGGCTCCTACAGAGGTGAGCATAGATGCTGCTGTAGCATCACTTCTATCAGAGCTGGAGAGAGTTTCATCAGCAGAGCCTCTTCTCCATGGCTGCCAGGTCACCTGTGAGCCCCGCCCTCTGCCAGTGTAGTTGCTTGGTTACCTGTGAGCCCCGCCTTTTGTCAGTCTTGGGCTGGGGGGTGGAGCTTCCATCTCTGTCTGGTTTATCGTCTCGCTCTGGCGCTGCCTCTTTCTCCTCCTTCTCCTTTGTCTTCTTCGGACGATATTTAATCTCCAGAGATGAGTCTTTATCTGCAGACACAACATACAGCTAACGGCTAACACACAACTAACAGTTAACACATAGCTAACAGCTAACAGACCGCTAACAACTATCAGCTATCACACAGCTAAAGGCTAGCTAACTAACTAACTAACTAACTAACTAACTAACTCTTCACAAATATAAAGTTTTCTCTTTAAAACAGACTCAGTCATTTACTCAAACAGCTGCTCAATGTAGTTTTTAATAAAACAGGAGGAAATAGTGACTTTGTTGGGGACTATTTTCAGTTGCGGATTAATCCACATTTGGTACTGTAGTGAGTGTTTGTGGCAGCAGGACAGTGTGTGTGGGACTGAGTTAAATAAATCACAGTGTGTGTGTTGATGGTGATGAGGTCAGAGACAGTCAGAGCTGGTCTGAGTCTGAACATGATGTTTACTGACTGTTAGAGGAGACTGACCTCTGCAGGACGGACAGTACCACACTCTGATGGCCTTAGCTGCTTTCTCTGAAACTCCAATACAGCCTCCATGAAACCACTCAGTACAGCTGTCACACCCTCTGACACACAGACAGGTACAAACAGACAGAAAGACAGACAGAAGGACAGACAGAGAGACAGACAGGTTAGTGTGTCCTGTTGTATGAGACCTGGTCTTCTGAGATCTAGATGAGGTTTAATTACATCATGAAACAGTTGATGTCTGGTTTCCTGCAGACACAGTACACAGGAGCGTTGGGGATTCCCATGGTAACCTCTCCTCCTTCTCCTTCTTCACCCTCGTCTTCACCTCCCTCTCCTCCTCCCTCCTCTTCCTCCTCCAGGCCTCGCTCTGTTCCTGTCGCCTCCTCAGACTGACACACAACAAACAAACAAACAGACAAACAAACAAACAAACAATAACACAAAGAAACAGGAAACATGATGGAACATGATGGACAGGAAAGATGACACAGTTTCATTGTGTAAATCTTGTGAAAAGGTACCAGACCTCAGAGTAAAGGTCTCTATCCAGGTTCAAACCTTTTCACATTAACAAGCCTGGAACCAGTTTCACTGTTTGTTTGTTTTGACCAGCAGCAGACCACATCAAACCAGGTCCAGTTACCTGGACTAGATTAACATGAAGACTAAAGACCAAAGTCTGGATAAAAAAAGCATAACACTTCATGGACCCTTTACCAGAAACTGATGTGAAACCTTTAATCTGCTCATACATTAAAAAGAGCTAATTCCCTGTTTTTCACTCTAAGCAGACCACAACGGACCGGGTCCAGATTAACACCCTCCGACTTTAGACCTCAGACCTGGACTACACTGACACGGAGACTCGAAAACAAATAAAACCCTTTTTCTTTCATAAAACCTTTGTTCTGTTTGTAACAACAGAAAAAATGGCGACATAGTTGTTGAGATTTTTTCAAACCAAACACTTTTCTGCACATTATAACTGCTGTGTTGAGTGTGTGTGTGTGTTTGTGATGCTGCAGGTTGTTAAACGGCGCTGCTCCGTTATTCTCTGCATCAGTCTGAACATCTGTCTGTGAACTCACCATGATCCAGCTGTTTGACGTTCACACACAGAAGAAGAAGAATCAGTCCTCCAGCCCGGTCCTCATCACAGTTCCACTTCCACTTCACTCATTCTTCATTTTTACCAAAATCTGCACAAATCTCTTTGTTTCCGCTTCATCCTCCTCCTTCTCCTCCTCCTCCTCCTCCTACCTCCTCTTTCTTCTTCTGTGCCGAAAAAAACCGGTGGCCAACAGAGAGGAGGCGCTACTGCAGCGACACCTGCAGGACGGAGACTGAGACACCTGCAGGACGGAGACTGAGACACCTGCAGGACATAACAGTGACAGAAATATTTGTGAAAACACACACACACACACACACACACACACACACACACACACACACACATATATATATATGTATATAGTTTATGATCTTCTTTATGATATATTTTCTTAACATTTGAATGATATTTTGTGGCCTCTGATGGTGTAGAAGAATAAAGTAACAGTTAATACCAATATGGAAATAAGATTTTCTGTATTGTGTTTTTTTTTTTGTTATAAAACTTGTTTTAATGATAATTTTCTCTATCTTGTGTAAAATATGTTTTAATGAAGGGTTCAAAAACAGTGACTTCCGTACAGTGCTATAAAATAAGAAGAAATGACATTTCTACAGACAGCATATAGATCACAGTACAATATACAGCTACACTGTATTAGTGTAACTGACTCACTGAGTTACTGTACTACAATGATACTAATGACCATTCACAGTATAAATGTAAATGTAAGTATCTCTAATCAAGAATAAAAAAATACATCAAATATATGACAACATATGAAACTGAGTCAAACATAATAGATACAATAATATACAAATATCATCTATAACACATAAGTATTTAGTACATATATTATAACAGATTTCTCTAGTGCTAGTACTAGAGTTAGGCCAGATGCTGTGGAGTCTGGGTAAAGTAGTCCAACAACAGTGCACAATCACCTGAGTCCAGAGCGCTTGAGACTGCTGGATTTACCACCTAGCGGGGATCCTGGTTCTTGATCAGACCTGTTACTGGGAAATTTCTGAAACATCAGTTGCAGGAAAATTTTTTTGATTTTTGGAAAATCATCTCCAGTACCAACGTGTAGTTTCAGCTGCAGTTCTCTGTGCCCAGCAGGTGGCAGCAGCTCATCCTACATGTCCAATCCACAGATCTGTTTGGTTCTTTTTGATGCTGCAAGTTGTTGTTCTTCTTCTTATTATTATTATTTTTCTTTTTCTTCTTCTTCTTCTTCTTCTTCTTCTTCTTCTTCTTCTTCTTCTTCTTCTTCTTCACCACATCAGTCAATGACAGACATGGACAATAAACAGTGAATCAGTTTCACTGATTAAAGCTGAATATTATTTAAAACTTGTGATTTTAAACAGATTGATATTGGTCCCTCAGACGTTTACTCTAATCTACCTCTCTCCTGCCCTATAACATCATAGATAATCAATATAAATATGAACCATCACTATAACTTCATGTATCTGTATTTACATGACTCTGACTGTTTCACTGTTTATCTGACGCTGCTGTGAATCTGATGTTCTTCAACCTGGTTACATGATGTGAAATCCCTCAGTAGATTAACATTAACAGTGAGTCGATGGTTTAAAAGTAGAATTCAATGTTTAAATGTATACTTAATGTTCACACACACACACACACACACACACACACACACACACACACACAGGTAAACAGTTTTCTGTATCTGACTCTTGGAAAAACAAATCACACAGATCATCTAAAATTCATTATATTAATAAATGGTTCACACTGAACTCCGCCCTGTCTGTGTGTGTGTGTGTGTGTGTGTGTGTGTGTGTGTCTTTAAAGGAAGTGGAGGAGGAGGCGGTCATACGCATGCGCGCGCTCCAGATAAAAACGGCAAAGTGTTTATTGACGAGAAAAAAGTTTCAGACCAGAAGAAAGAAAGAAAGACAGAAAGTCCTTGAAGCTGCAGGTGAGAAACTTTTATTTCTGTTTATTTCTGTATCTGTTAAATCATATGTTTTAATATTAATGTGACATAGACTTTGACTCAGATCAGTTTCAGTTGATCAGGATTCAATTTCTACTCAAAACAAATTCACACTGAACATTAACAGTTTAACAGTGAATTTTGTTTCTACTTGAGACTGATGATGGCTTTATTTCTCATCAGTTTAATTCATCTGACCTGTTAATGATCTGCTTTTATTTTGTAAAACACTTTGAGCTGTTTCATGTATGTGTAGAACAAAGTTCATTATTATTATTATTATTATTGTTGTTATCAGTGGTGTAAGCAGTACCTCAGCCTCAGTCTTTCAGCAGAATGACTGTCAGGATAAAGTGTGTGATGTTACTGGATCATAGTGAAAGATGAACACATGATGTTTTTCATGTGTTCATCTCTCGGCTGCAGCAGGTGGAGCTGATGTGAATCAATGTATTTTGAGTAGAGTCATCTATTAATCATCAGAGTTCATTAATAACCTGAATCTGCAGGGGCAGTCTGTGGAGGAGGAGGAGAGGTACGTCAGAACTGCAGTAAATGTACTTATTGATTATTGCTGATTATTATTTTTGTTGTATGAAGATAAATGTGAGTCCAGACTGTCACAGCTGCTGAATTCACATCAATGATTTAATCACATGATATCAGCAGGATGGATGTGACATCACACTGCAGTGACATCACTGAGAGCGGAGCCAATAAGAACCCAAACCAACCAGAATGCATCTCAAGTCAGCCAATGGCCAATGGGACGCTCCCACATCACAGCACAGGTGAGACAGATAGAAAGGTCGTGAGGTCGTGATTCTGATGACATCACACTATTGAACCCTAACCTCAGATCTGACGTCACCTCAGGCTCTCACATCTGAATCGACATCACCCCTCAACCAGGGTAGGACCTGAGGGGATTTCCTGTTTCTCTTTGTTTTCACCCTCAGGGAGGACTTCCTCACAGGCTGCAAACACAAGTCCTGAACCTGAACGACCAATCTTCTCTTCTGTCAGAGCCCAGCAAAGCAATGAGCTCTGCTCTGTCATGTTTTACATAAGATACCTGGAAGGTTGAGGGTCAGGGGTCAGGGTTCAAAGCAGGGATTCTGACCTGTGACCTCTGACCTTTAATTTCAAGAGTAAAAGCTGATTAATTCATTTAAACTCTTTACTGCTGTCTCTAAATACTACAGTACCCATAATCCTCAGATGCTGTTGCTATGGAGAAGAAAGCAGTCAGAGGTGTGAATCAGAGCAGTGAAATTAAAACAGGTTGCCATGGTTACTGAATTCATCTAAAACTGAATGAATTTCACCTTTAGCTTCAGCTGAGTATTAACGTGAAGCTATGTGATTGGCTGTTAGTGAAATGCACCCTGGGAGTTCCTGTAGCCTCTGAAGACTGAAGTAATTCTTCTCACTTCACTGCTCTGTTCACCACGAAAACACAACGTGCAACAACCAACAAACCAGAGCGGCTCCTGTGGTTCAGGAGGGAGAGCGGGAGGTCGGTGGTTCAAGTCCCGACTCCACCAGACCACATGTCCAAAATACTGAACCTGATTTATCAGCGGTGTGTCAGTGTGTGAGTGTGTGTCTGAAAATGGGTGAATGTGATATGTAGTGTAAAGTGTGTTTTCTGATGTTTTAAATCCTCTTCCTGTAGATGAGGCACCACCCCCTCTCTCAGATAGGTCAGAAGATGATGACATCAGTGATGACTCTTTGACGGGCAGCTCCTCCACCAATGACATCTGTAGACTCCTCCCCTCTCAGCCCGCCTCTGCTCTCAGAAAACAGAAAGGTAACATCTGATGTAATCGGGTCTAATCTACCCTCATGTACCTGATCCACCATGTCATATGTGACATAACCTGTGATGTCATCTCTCTGTCCCTCAGGTGTGGACAGCTTGTCAGTGTCTCCCCCCCCCGTCTGTACTCCTCCATCTTCCTCAGTTACCTCTCCTGTTCTTCCTCCTCCTCCTCCTCCTCCTCCTCCTCCTTCTAGGTCATCCACCTGTGACAGACACAGTTGCAACCTTCCTCGTCATCATCATCATCAGAGCACCAATCAGAAGCGTCTCTCCTCCACTAAAAGCCACGCCTCTTTCAAGACCGACGCTGCCCATATTAAGGAGGTTGCTGGAGACGGTGAGCCAATCAGCCTTGATGCCTGGAAACAGAGTTTGTTTTCACAGGGTCACAGGTCAGAGGGTCACAGGGTCACAAGGTCACAAGGTCACAGGTCAGAGGGTCACTCCTAAGAGCAGATACAGACGCGGATAAAAAAAGTGTGTCGTCAGCATAAAGGTTAATTTAATCTGCAGAGGTGAAGTTATTGTTTTGTGGACGGGAGGACTGCAGTGGAGACACTTATAAAGATGACAGTGTCCGCCATGTTGGACAGACAGACAGAGACAGTATCTGAGTGACAGGAAGTCGAACACTCTGATCTCAGGTGTATGAGTTGCTGAGAACATGGTAAGAATAGAGCTTGTTCATTGGTCACTGTCTGCACCTGTTTGTTTCCCTCAGGAGCTGTAAAGATGGTGGACAATAGTAACGCCAATAGTTTGACACTATGCTTATCAGGGTCAGAGTTAGCCTTACAGCTGAAGGTGAATAAAGTGAAAATCAAGAGACAACTCATCAGTTATTAAATGAACCACAACAAACATCCTGTGACTGTTGGAGGAAACAGGAACGTGAGTCTCTGATGTGAAGACTCGTCTCCACACTGATGAGGTTCTCTGAAGCTCATTTATCAGCTGAACACACTCCAACATGGAGGTCTGCTTATCTCGGCTGAACACACACACTCTGACCCCTCCCTGCATCGGTTGGTCTGGTTCCTACCAACCAACACCCACCTCCACCCAAACACCACAGAGCGACAGGATGAGGGCAGGACTGTTGACCCACAGTCAGAGTCTCTTCATCTGTTTGTCATGGTTCACTGGTTAATGTTTTTTTTTTTTTTTACTGTGGTTTAGAATCAGAAGCTCTTTTTTCTCTTCATGATTTTCTTTTACTGTGAATTTCAGTGAACATGAGGAACAGAGAAAATCACTTGTAACTGATATGCTCCTTTATAACACGACTGACAGACTACGCCCAGGGCCGAACAGCATCAGGGTCATAGAAGGAAAAAAATCAGATTTTGAGGGCAAAATTCATAATGTTTTAATTTTATGAGGAAAAGTGGAAATATTTCATTTTCAACTCTGAAAAGATTCTGATTGTCTCTGCAGACTGTTGCGTTCACTGTCTCCCGGCCTGTGTTCTGATTGTCTCTGCAGACTGTTGCATTCACTGTCTCCCGGCCTGTGTTCTGATTGTCTCTGCATACTGTTGCGTTCACTGTCTCCCGACCTGTGCTGTGATGGTCTCTGCAGACTGTTGTGTTCACTGTCTCCTGACCCGTCTGTTCTGATTGTCTCTGCAGACTGTTGCGTTCACTGTCTCCCGCCCTGTGCTGTGATGGTCTCTGCAGACTGTTGCGTTCACTGTCTCCCGCCCTGTGCTGTGATGGTCTCTGCAGACTGTTGCGTTCACTGTCTCCCGCCCTGTGCTGTGATGGTCTCTGCAGACTGTTGCGTTCACTGTCTCCCGCCCTGTGCTGTGATGGTCTCTGCAGACTGTTGCGTTCACTGTCTCCCGACCTGTGTTGTGATTGTCTCTGCAGACTGTTGCGTTCACTGTCTCCTGACTTGTCTGTTCTGAATGTCTCCACAGACTGTTGCGTTCACTGTCTCCTGGCCTGTCTTTTCTGCGAGCTACTATCCATGTGTTCGGCTGTGGGGGAGTGTCTGGCGTGTGGAGTGGGCGGGGCCGGGTGTTGTGATGCTGCAGCTGGCTGTTGCTGCTGCGTGGAGGCGGCGGGGGAGGCGGCCTGTACGGAGGAGGCGTGTCAGGCTGTGTTGGATTGTGGGATACTGGAGGACTGCTGCGGCTCGTCTGACTGCTTGGAGGTTTGTCTAGAGTGCTGCTCCATCTGCTTCCCCTCATAGAGCAGCCAATCAGAGCGAGACTGCAGGATGACATCAGAGAGAAGAAGGATTGACCTGGGATTCGCTCACTGCTTTGTTTCTGTGTATAACTGTGAGTGACAACTCTCAGTCTGTGGTTCATCCTCTATGGAGCAGCATCCAACTGACGTCACCATCCAGAGCCTGATCAGCTTCAGCACATGAGGATCATGTCTGTAGAGAGGTGGAGTCAGAGCTGCAGCTGATGACCTGGAACTGAAACCACCTGCAGGAACCGGACTGTTCCCAGGACCAGGTTTTCATCGTTAGGATCCAGTTCAACTAATGGACCAAAGATTCTGGACTTCTGAAATGTTGGACAACTGTGCCACTCTCTGGTCCAGACTGAGACGCCTTAGTCTGGACTGACCTGGGGTCCAGACCTTAACATCATTTGAAAGGACACACTCATTTTTCCCCTTTGTGCAGAAAAGTTTCATCTGATTCTGATTTTGTTGATCAACAAACAAACAACAACAAACACAAAGTTTCAGGCTTCATTAAAGCTTCAATATATAAGTTCGGGAAACGTTATTGTAGCTCTAAGTAAAACTGAGCTAAAGCACCGTGATCATGGCCTCACACCTGTTCACTGATTCCTGACACATACTCACCTGTGTCAGTCTTGGAGTATTTCTAGGGCCTTTTGTGAACTGAGGTAGTTCTGGAACAAGTAATGACCAGGTGCTTAATGAGCAGGTGTTCACTCTGACCAGATGTCTGTCCCACACACTGAACCAGACAGTTGAAAGGTCACAGAGTCAGGTGTGACTCCTGTATTGACTCATCAGGACTCGTTAGTACAGCTCTACTCAAGTGAGTGTGTTGTGATGTCCTCTCTGAGAAAACAAAGATCTGTCAAAGCGACGCTTGACTCTGCAGCAAAAATAAACCTCATGTTCAGCCTCTGCTGTTTTTGTGTCTGATTGACAGCTCAGGAGGGGGCAGGGTTGGACAGGACAGGAAGTAGGTTCTGCAGGGACAGGAAGTGTGTGTTTGTTAAAGCAATGTGCCAGGACATCCAAACAGGAAACAGGAAATCACTGGAATGACAACGCCACCTGAACTCTGACCCCCGGGACACCCGACATCAAAGAGACAGACAGACACACACACACACACACACATCACTCTGGGGTCCAAACAGTGGTTCAAACATGAGGGGTTGTGACATCATCAACTTCTTCCTCTCAGATGTTTAAACTTTCCTCTGATCTTTGTTTCATGTGAATTAATAAAAATATAAAAACATAAACCTGATCATAGACCACAGACAGAAACAGGGTCACACTGCTCTGCTGAGACTGATCAATCATAGGAAGACTGACTCAGGTTCAGTCTTCATCAGGGTCGTCATGGTAACATTTCTACACTGTTCCTCTTTCTTTAAATGATTACTATATCATTATATTATTATATTTATTATTGCATTTATTATTACAGCTGCTGAATGAATGTTTCTTTTCTCCAGTTGTATCAGGAACCTGAACTTCAGTTGTTACTGCCCCCTGCCGCTCAGAGTGGGGAACTGAGCCTCAGTGAAACATCAACCTCCCTGTGTGTCAGTAGACAGATGGAGCGGGATTTCTGGACCAGAGTCTGGTTCACAGAGACACCCCCCATTACTGAGAGGAGGTTCAACAGAGGACTAGAGGAAAATTTGAAGAACAGACAATTTTACGGCATTTTAAGGCTTAGAAAGAGAGGAAGCAAACAGAACCAGACCCAGGACAGAATCCTGGGGAACACCTTAGGACAGAGCTTCAGTTAATGAGGCAGAGATTTGAACCAGAAACTGTACCACTGTCTGAACCTCCAACCAACTCACGGTATTTCACAGAGAAAAATATTCAACATGGTATTATTGTGAGGACAATTAATTCTTATTACGATGTATCATTAGTTTTATTAAGATATAAATTTACCTCCATACTCCTTACATTAATATAACAGTAACATTAAGCTGCTCACCTGTTGTCAGGTTTAGGAGTGTTAAGGACCCAAATGCAGACAAACAGAGTTTTGGTGGGAAAAAAGGTAAAAAAAACAAAAAAAAAAACAACATACAATACCAGCAAAACAGAACCAAGAAAAAATGCAGATTCAGGTAAAAGTCAGGAACACAAAATGGACGCTCAAGGAGACACAGGTGAAACATGACTGAAGAAAAACAGACGAACTGACAAAGACAGAGACTTAAATACACAAGGAAGGCAAGGGTAATAAAACATAGGTGTAACACATTAGGGTAATCAATGAGGGAAACAGGACTAACACAGGAAGTACATTGACCACGAGATACATAAGGAACTCTACTTCAAAATAAAACAGGAAATTAAACAATTGTCCAAACATATAGAGTTCTCATGTTGCAGACCATGACAAGTGTTTTATTACAATATCTAATTTAAGTCCTTTTGTTGATTTATTTTTATTGTTATGTGGAAACATGTAGAATAAGTAACTGAAGTTTGTTTTCATATATTTATTATTTGAAACACTGAAACAAACTTACCTGTTGCTCAGCTGAGAGATGTAATCTTTCCTCTAATCTCTGCTGTTCAGAGTCTGTTTGTTGTTGAATTTGTTGACAGTTGAAGTTTGTTGTCTGAATAAAATGACTGTTGTCATAGAAACAAAAGGTAAAATGACGTCAGCTGATTTTGTGAAGTGACTTTATTTCTATATAAAAGATTGAATCTATAAAAACAAACAGGAGCTTGTTAACATGAACAAACATAAATCACAACGTTAATTAAAGACAGACATTAATCCCTTTTTATCTGATCTTGATGACTAACAGCTGTTGTTGCTATGGTAACCAACATCACATCACTGACATCATCTCATGAAACAGAGATTTATGGCTTTCTGCTGACCACGGTTTAGGGACAAAATAAAACCCATGGTGGATCCAGGTCTCAGACAGGGACCGTACTGGATAGAATCTGGACACAGTTTGTGTGTAATCCAGAGGTTTAAATTGTGAGGGGGGAGCAGAGGGACAGGTGTGTACAGGTGATCTAATGATCAACAAGAAGTTAAGAGTTTAGTTTAACAGATCAACAGCTGCAGCAGCAGCAGTGACACAGAGGTAAGACACTGTGAAACAGAGACAGAAACCAGAGTCAGACCTGAACCCAGACCTGAACATGTTGATCTGATTCAGTGTGACATCACTTCCTGAGGATATCATTATCTCTGATGTCCCTCCAGAATAAAGCTCCAAAGAAAACAGAGGCTGCAGAACTTCATTCAGAACCCTCCTGTTTTTAAGTTTCCTTCAGTATCACAGTAATCCAGTGATAGTTGTCTGAACAACGTACACTGCAGACAGCTGATTCAGCTGCTTCATTTTTGCAAATGGTTTTTACAGATTTTATAGATGATGATGATGATGATGATGATGATGATGATGATGATGATGATGATGATGATGATGATGATGAACTGAGTTAGTTTCCCTTCTGTTCCTCTGAGGCTCTAACAGGAAACACCTGCATCAGTATAGTGAACCTGACCAGGTGTGCTCCTCTAATATTTCTCCTCCCTTTGCTTGCAGCACAGTGATTCTGTTTATGTTTATGTTTACGTACAGTTTTCATGTTTACAGGGCTGAGCTGAGGGAGTCGCAGCAGACTACTGACAGCACCATCTGCTGGTTAAACTATTCACAACAGGTAAAACTATGCAGCCCTAATGTACACCTGGTTTCTACTAAGGGGTTCAGGCTTTGAATCGCTTGATGCTGCCACAAGTTAGACTTGCTGTGACATCACAGATGGAGCATGACCAGGTATAGTTCTGACCTATAGCTGAAAAAGACTGATTAACTAAACATGAGCACAGGTGAGTTAAAGCCTTTTTTTAAATTTAGGTGAGACCTTCTCTCCACTGCGGCCTGGAGAGCAACTGATTGACAGACTGTCCATCACTGCAGTGTAATCAATCAAACATTTTCATCTTAAAGTGAAGTTGATCGAATATTGAGTTAGAATTTTGATTTTACATCTAATATTTTCATTTCAGTGAGTCATGGTTTAAGTGAGCAGATTTTTAAAATACAACAAATAAACCAGGAAACTGTGGTTCCTTAAATCCCTCAGAACCAGAGTCCTTCTTAAGTTTATATCTTATATTTTCTGTTTTTGTTTTTGTTCTTTTCCCTGGCAGCAGCGGTCTTCCAAACGATGTGGACCAGAGGATGTGGGACTCAGAGGTCCCAGCTGCTGACCAGGACCAAGGACCAGGACCAGGACCAATCAGGCCATGGCTTACAGGTCACTGATTGGTTCAGCCAATCAGAGGAGGGTTAGAGTTTGAATGTTTGTTTCATGTTTGTTTTTAAAAAATAGAACTTCAGACCTTAAAAATGATTTTACTGATCATGAGTTATTGATCAACTGCTGTTCTACCAACCAATCAGCTGTGAGTTTGTTCACTAACAGCCGATCAGCTTCTGCTCTGTGGTTTCTGATGTTGACAAGGATGAGACAACACAGCTGTTGCCATGGTTACACTGGAGAAAAAACTGTGGTTACCATGGTGACACTGGAGAACAAATATTGGTTATCATGGGTACACTGGAAGACACAGCAGTAACCATGCTTACTGCGGTGACACTGGAGGACATATCGGTTACCATGGGTAAACTAAAAGACACTGGAGGACTCACAGTGGTTACTGTAGTTACACTGTAGTACACATTTGCTCCCTGTGACATCACATTTGTGCATTGTTTGTTGTGATGATGTCACTGATGAAAAATATTTCTATTAACCAATAAAAAAACTCCCAGCTGGTCAGAGTCGCGCCTCCAGCTCTGGCCAATCAGATTTCTGCATGTGTGATGATGTCATCAGAGGTCCTCGTCCATGCTGAAACTGCTCCTCCTGCTGCTGGTCTTTGAGGCGCCGCAGGACAGCAGGGGGTCGGACATCACCCCTCCTTCCCCTCCTCCTCCCTCATCCATCAGGATGTCTCCCAGGCCGTGGAGCTCCGTCAGCCCCACGTCAGACATCAGGTCTGGGGAGAAGACGGTAGAGGCTCCCTGAGGCTCGTCCAGGTCCACGAAGTTCAGGGCGTCCAGACCCAGAGAGGGAGTCACCAGAGAGGAGGCAGGAGAGGAGGAGTTGGAGAACGGGTGAGGCAGTGTGGGGGAGAGCAAGGCTTGGGGGTCCAGAGAGGAGGAGGAGGAGGAGTTGGGGTGAGGCGAGGAGGAAGAGAGTCCATGGAGACGAGCCTGAAGCTCCAGCTCCTACAACAAGAAACAAATGCCACTGTTTTTATTCTTGCAGACGACAGATGTGTGTTTAAAGTCTGACAGAGACGAGTCTGCTGATCTGCCAGCGCTCTGGTTTCTGTTGACCTCAAACATCTCTTCAGTCACACATAACAAGAGCTGAAATACACAGAAGAGACACCTGATCCACTTTGTCCAGAGTAACAGACCAATGAGTGTTAACGTTCATCAGCCGAGACACTGCAGAGTCAGCACTCCTCTGGCTGTGTTGGTGTGTGTTGGTGTGTATTGGTGTGTGTAATTAACGTCCTCTGGAATCAAACCAAACTTGTGTTTATTTTAAATGAGCTGATCTCAGACATAATGATCATAACATATTAATAATCTGACAGTTTCATTGTTTTCCACGCTGTATCAAACAGTCAGGAGTCCGTGTCGACAAGAAACACCAAAACTCTCCTCCCCCCTCCTCACCTGAATGCGGAGCAGCAGGGAGCGGTTGGTGTTCTCTAGCCTCCTCTGTCTCTCCTCCATCTCTCTGGCTCTCTGTTGTTCTTTCTGCATTTTGCGGATGTAATCTACTGAAGCCTTCAGGATGGTCCCCTTGTTCCACCTCATCTCCCTGATCAACCAATCACAGGCCACGCCTCATTAACACACAGCACTAACGAGCATAATGAGATGCAGCAGGAAAACAAGCTGGACTGTATCTGACATCATTCAGTTATTATTAAATATCCCAGTGCAGTTGTAGCAACACATTAACATGTATCTGATGTTTAAATGTAATGTTTAAATGTAATGTTTAAATAGTTAAAGGTCCCTCCTGAATATGTTTCAATTTATTTTTCAGATGCACGTGACATCACTGAACATGGTATCTATGTTTCTATAGCTATGGTGCTAATACCACAGTACTACAGACGAGAGAGAGGATGAAAGTTTACTGACAGGTCGGTGGATTTGGGGATGAGTCCTCCGAGTTCTTTGATCCGGTCGTTGATGTTGAACCTCCTCCTCCTCTCGACTGAAACATAAAAAATAACATCAACATCAACAACAGCGTAAAGGATCTTTCCAGGTCCTATCATCAGGTACACAAACATGTTGAAATCAAAGATTAAAAACAGAAGGAAGAATCAGTCTCTCAGCTGCTGATCACAGTCGTCAGTCACCACAAACACCAGGACGTCAATGTCAATAAACTCTAGAATTTAATTATTCACCATTTTTAACATCAACATTTTATCAATTTATCCTTTGGTCTATGAAAGGTCAGAATATAGTGAAAAATACCCACTACCATTTCTCACAGCTTGAGGGTATGTATTCATACATTAACGTCGGGAACACACTGCCTGGGTTGAAGGGTGCGTGGCAGCTGCCGTTGCCGAACTACTGCGGACAAGCAAGCGTGTGTGTTCACAACGGCTGCATCTCTGCTGCGTTGCTGCTGTTGCAGCTCTATCTCTCTATATAGAGTTTGCAGGTTACTGGAATGATGGATTTCATTTCATTATAAATTAATTTCTGATTTTTTTTTGACAGAAAACGTCACTAAATGTCACTGTCTCCACATGTAGCTGCTGAAATGGTTAAAAATGTATTTATATTTTTTCATGTTTGTGTCATATTCAGATTCAGCCTACACAGAGACAACTACAGTGGAAGGTGTCAGTTTTGTGTCATGTTGCTGGTATGATATCAATATGACATCAACAGGTCTTTTCTCTGTCTATTTCTGCTGGGAGACGCGCGCGTCATGTGTGAAAATAGGCCACACTGAATCTTTAGATCACGTGATGCAGTTGCGAGGTGTGAGATGTGTCAGTGCGTGGCAGTGTGTCCGCTCCGGTCCGCTCTAACCCGTTAACATGTGCGCCGAACTGAATACCAGGACATTCCGCCCCCGTAGAACACACGCGACACATCCAGTGTGTTCCTGGGTTTAATTAAGTAACACTGTAGTTAGTGATGTAATACTGTAGTTATTAGTGAAGTATCCGTGTAGTTATTACTAATGTAATACTGTAGTTATTTATGAAGAAATACTTCAGTACTCACTGAGGTTGTGGTTGTCCTTCTTCTGTCTCTCTTTGATCAGAGCTTTCGTTTCCACATCTACAACAACAACAAATACTTGACATTTTAAAGACTTAACAGCTGTAAAACTAGAACAACTGAACAATCTCCATATGCTGATGAAGACCATGTGATATGACTGAAAAAGACTAGCCGGTGAACCTACTAGTTTTCACAATGAGGAACAAACTTAATGGTTTTATTGTTTCAGCAACAAACAACAGGAGACAGAGAAAAGATCTAAACTGATGGTTTAAACTAAATGTTTAAGAACTGTTGACTCAATAGGAAGTGGGAACTGATGATGTGGGAAAATACGACTGGCTGCTGTGTGTGTGTGGGTGTGTGCGTGTGTGCGTGTGTGTGTGTGTGTGCCCGTGCGTGTGTGTGTGTGAGGAAGTGTGATGTTGACTCATCAAAATGAAGAAGAACAGATTTTTTCACTGCAGAAAACAGGGAAACTCAGGGGGAGGGACTTCACTCTCAGAGCTCTGACATCACAGCTGGTTGAGCCAATGAGCACTCAGCTCTGCAGACTGTCCTGTGTGTTAGGCTGTGTAGATACCGTGTGTTGTTATTGATCCTGTATGTTGTGTTAACTCAGACTACACATTTTAATCTTCCTTTCTGCACAACAAGAACCTGAACTTACAAAATATATGCTAGTAAAGTTAATGAAAGGTCCTCACAAGTACAGACCTACAGAGTATGTGAGTGAGTATTATATATTTAGTGACCCACCGCTCAGCTCTGTCTTGACTGTGTGGAGCTCAGCCGGGCAGCTGTTGCTAACGGTGATGGTGGGTGTGGTCGTCCCTCCGCCATACACATCCAGCATGGTCCCCGACACCGGCAGCTGGAACAGACCAACGAGAACATAGAGTCAGCCGCTAATGGAGAAACTGACCAGTCAGAGCGAGTCCAACACACGCCAGAGCATTCTGAGCTGTGATTGGCTGCAGGATGACCACCCCCACTCTCTGCTGCTGAAACATTAGTTTGTCTTCTAATAATCTTTTTTTGTGTCATATTAAATTATTGTTATTGAGTATTGAGTTTGACTTTGTTTGTTTTGTTTCTCTATGAACATTATTTCATCAATATTGTATCCTCACTACACACCTTCCAACCATCTACCTGCACTAGACTAAACTCAACTAAACTAAACTAAAGTAACTAAAGTAACTCAACTAAACTAAACTGAACTAAACTAACTAAAGTAACTAAAGTGACTAAAGTAAACTAAAACTAAACTAAACTAAACCTAAACTATACTAAAGCTAAAGCTAAACTAAAAACTACACTGAAACTAAACTAAACTAAACTAACTAAAGTAACTAAAGTAAACTAAACCTAAACTATACTAAAGCTAAAGCTAAACTAAAAACTACACTGAAACTAAACTAAACTAAACTAACTAAAGTAACTAAAGTAAACTAAACCTAAACTATACTAAAGCTAAACTAAAAACTACACTGAAACTAACCCTAATCCTAACTAAATTAAAGTAACTAAAGTAAACTAAACTACAGTAAACTAAACTAAAGTAACTAAAGTAAACTAAAACTCAACTTAACTAAACTAAAATAAACTAAACTAAAGTAAACTAAAACTAAAGTAACTAAAGTAAACTAAAACTCAACTAAACTAAACTAAACTAAACTAAACTAAACTAAAGCTAAAGCTAAAGCTAAACTAAAGAACAGGAGAACAGTTATACAAACAGCGGAGATGTCACATGATCACATTTCATCTTAAGGGTTTAATGACCTCAGATTGGAGTCACCAGAATAATTATACATATATATATATAAAAACCTAGAACATGACGCTGGACTCAGACTGATGCTGGACAGAGACAGCTTTCACCCTGTGTTCCTCACCTGTTCATTCATTTACCATAAATATTCAGAGCTATTCTTCCTGCATAAGTGTTGTCTCCGTTTGTGTGAAGCTCTCTGTTGTCTTCACCCAGCAGCACTGGGCGTCAGCATGATGTCAGACAGATGTTAAATATTAGTTGGACATGAAAATCACCATCAAACCCAGTGATGGGTAACTGTCACCGTGACATTTAGCAGATGTTTAGTAGACGTTGGGTTTTGGTCACAATAATGAATGAAAAAATAACAATAAATGTTGTTGGCCTGGCACATTTGGAAGACCTTGGATTTTGGTCACTTAAATATACACTACACAAGATTTGTCACCACTTGAAGTTGGCCCCTCCTCCCTGGCTCAGCAAGAGAGAGAGAAAGAGCAGCGGTGGTCGAGCGTGCAAGAGAGTGAGAGAATAGCGCAAAAACGAAGCAATGAATTTTTTTCTGCTCGTTTCACAGGGCAGTTCAGTAACTGTGGTGTAGAAGTAAAATACAACTTTTTTTTAATGATTATTATTTATCTGTTCCTGGTCCTGGACCAAGGCAGCTCTGATCTGAAGTCAGTTCGTGTTCCTGCAGACAGTGTGGAATCTGCTGATTGAACAGGAAACCATCTGAAATGATAACAGCTGCCTCCTGCTCACATCACACACAGATAAGTCCAACAGAAACAGTTTCCAGTAACAGGAACAGACTGCACTGTTTGTAACGCTGCACTGCTCAAAGAGCTCAGTGACAGAATTAGACATTTACATTTTCAGACTGTCTGTTGTAGAAACCAGTCACAGCTGGTTAGTGACACAGTCATAGTTAACTGTTGGTTAAAGTTAAAGTTACTGGTTTTTGATGGTGGAGGTTACATCATACATCTAAATGCACTGAATTGTAAATTGATTTATAATGTTGTTATTCTCTCACTGCTCTCTACCTTCTACATTTTTACACCATTGATTTTTCGTTTCCTTATGCAAGTCAAGTAGCAGCCTGTTGTCTCCATGGAGCAGTGTGAGTTCAGACTGAGAGGGAAACACAGTTTTCATAACATATAGAAACGACTGGAAACATCAGACAAGTACGTTTACATGTAAAAGAAACTGAGGGTGAGTTATCTGACTGCTGCAGTTACTGGTTAATGTGCAGATTTTATAATAAAACTTCTACTAAACAATCAATTTATAGATTTATCTGTCCAACAACTGTTTATATGTTCATGCATCTATAATAACAATCCAGTCAACAAGAGCTCTGTTTCAGCTCAGTGACGACTTTCTGAACTAAGGGATCCACTTACTTCCTCCTCCTCTCCATAGTTTAACATTAAAGCAGAAAAAGCTCCTCTCCTGGACCAGTAATCTGACCAGTCTGCAGTCCAGAGGTGGTCAGAGGTCAGAGGTCACAGCTCAAACATTCAAACTGACCTGAAACAACAAACTCCACATTTTACCTCTGATTTAATCCTCCTCTTCTCATGGTCTGGCAGTAAAACTAAAATCCTCATCTTTTCTGATTTCACACAAACATGCACACACACACTAACACACACACACACTTACATACACACACAGTCAGGCTG